CGAAATGCCCAGGGCCTCCGAGGGAAGGCGCAAGAGAAACACGTACGTGACAAGAAAGAGCTGCGCGAAAACGGCGGACTCGTGCCGCTCTTTTGCCAGATTTAGCAGCGCGCAAACTGCGTCCTCCCTGATGAATAGGGGCGCCCTGGGCAGGAAAGCGCCGCGCTTGCGAATCGCGCATTTGGCGCGGCGAAGGGGCGTGTCACGAAAAACGTCTACAGGGAGATCGCAAACCTGACAAGCCAGCTTGACGTGAGAGACATAATTGGAAAAGGTCTGGTCGGAGCGAAACAGCAGCGACCACGCGAGCAACCCGTCGGCAGACGGCGGCAGCTCGCGCCCGTGCAGCGCAAGAGCCTCGCGCGCGAACGCGATCCATGCTGCCACGCCGCTCTTGAAAGAGGCGATGGAGCGCGGGCATGCGCCCAGGAGGGCCGCTGCGCGCGCCGAAGACAGCCACTCAGCGACGCTCACTGGGCCTTCCTCGCTGTCAAGCCGCCGGCGAAGATAACGGAGCTCCGCGCGCGGGCCCCCGCCGCACTGTGGCGCGCGGGCCCCCTGCGCCTCCGCAATCCTTGTCGCGAGGAGCGCGTCAACGGCAATGCCCCCGGCGGCCTGCGCCCGCGCCGGCACCGGCCTCTGGACTTGTGCTGCCTCCTGCGCGCGCACGCGGGCGCGATGCAGCAGGGGCGCGGCGCGAAGTGCGCGAACCTGAAGGCTTGACGCGAGTGCGATAGCTTCCCGAATACAACGCTTTTGGCCGCCGTCGAGGTCCGCGCCCAGGAATTGGAAATCTTTGAATTTGGCCCCAGCGAGCGCGGACGGGCGCGACACGCTTTCGGCGGCGAGCGCCGCCGCGATCGCATCGAACCACGCCGCATCGCGCCTGCCTTGGCCCGCGGCTCTCTCCAGGAAGACACGCATGGAAGCGGCGTGCCCGGCCATTGCCGTTCCGACGGTCGGCGCGCGCCAAGCAATGCCTCTGCCGCCGAGCCCTGCTTGCCGAGCGCACGTGGAGCGGCTGCGCTACGCGCGACCTTCGCGGACGCAACACGAAAACGAATAAAACAACTTTCATGCGCGCGCGCCGACGCAAGACGATTTGGCGCGCAAGCCGAACTGTCGGCCGACGGACGCTCACGCGCGGCGCAGCGACACCCGCGCGGCCGAAAGAGATGCCCAGGCATCGGGCTTCCAGAATGCCTCGCTAAGACGCGGCAGCACGAAAGAAGCGCCGATCTCGCGAAGGAGCCAGTACTGCTCCCGCGACGGCAAATCGGCAACGTTTAGCTTCGAGGGGACGCGGTCGACGCGGAGCGAGACGCGCAATTGCGCCGCCTGCAGCCACAAAGAATTGATGAGACACGTATAGTCCCACTCTTTGGAAGCGCCTTTCCGCGTGGCAGCCTCGGCACCGACGTTGTCGGACCAGAGGCGCACGCGCCTGCCCGCGAGCGCGTTGCTGAATGTGGAAAGGCCAAACGCGATCGCAAGAAGCTCGAGGGACATAATCTGCGCATCGCCCCTTTGCTTGAAATGGCGCAGAACGCAATCGGGGGGGGGCCCAATCGGAGTAGGAAGCCCGCCCGTCGAGGAAGAGCACAGCCGCGACGCGGGGCGGCGTGCTGCGCGCGTCGACAAAGAGCTGCGCTGCCTCGCGCTGATCTGGTGCCCAGACACGGGTCTCGCAGAGCTCCAGCGCTAAGACTTCTGCCCACCATTCGAGTGCGACGCGCAGCTGCTGCGGCACCACCACGCCGCACTGCTTCGAGTGGGCGAACAAGGGCCGGATGAGCGCGCGCCCGATGCGATGGAACATGCCCGAGCATGCCCACATCAGGGCGCCCGCAAGCTTTGCCGCGTCCCCTGGCCGCAAAACGCCCGAGGAGAGCGCGTCGCCAATGCGACCGCGCCACTTCTTGACCTTGTCGGGCGACGGAGTGCACGAGAAACCGCCGTGGTCTGCGCGGACCTGAAGGCCCAGGACGACAAGCGGCATGCCCGCGGCGACCTTGTCCGCCGCGATTGCAGAGGGGCCGAGGATGCAGCGCACGAGCCGCACGATGCACTCGAGCGCATGCTCGGCGCATGCCGCGCGCTCGGCGCCAAAGAGGTCATCGACGAAACGCAGCATGGGAATGAACAGTAGGCGACGCACAAGGTGCGAAATGAGCGCGCCGACCCTTTCCCACGCATGCACGGACGCGACGGCGCCGAAGGGCATGGCTAGGTGCCCTGCCACATGGGCCACGCCCTGCGCGAGGAAAACGAAGAACAGGAACCGGCGATGCATCGGCATGGCGGGAAGCCTGCGGAAGGCCGAGTCAATGTCGGCTTTGTAGAACATGATGCGTTCGCGCGTGCCCTGCGCCACGCCCCTGGCGACGCGATACAGCGCATCGATGGACTCGGGGCGAAACTTTTCGCCTGCCGAGGTGCACCCGTTCACTTTCGCGCGAGTAAGATCGTCAACAGCCCGAACGCGTATGTCGCCATTGGG